TTTATTTATCCCTAAATCTAATAGTTTAGCAAAGATATTCTTAACTGACCTGCAGAAAAGCAGTTTAAGTAGTTGTGCATTTTCACATTTGGGCTGACTAGATAAAATTGTAGACATTTAGGGAATAAAAAAGACCTCATTTGCTAAGAGACAATTCAGCATCTTTGGAGATACATCTCTTCGGTGTAGGCTGGGAATGTCAGGAGGCTGATTGTATGAGTAATTACTAACATAAGGGGTAATGGGATCAAAATGGAAGAGGTGATCGCCCTCTGGGCATTTCTGTGGTGATTGGAGCATGTGAAGTACTTTGACTGCTCAATCAGGTCACGTGAAATCGGTCAGGAGCAGAGCAGACGTTTTCCATGATGGTTGGCCTAATCTGCCAGACATGCTCCTCCCTGAGGGTACGTCCCCTCTGCAGTTCGAGACACGAACCCACAAATGTTTACTTCAAGCCCCTTGAGCTAAGGTCACATTGGGGCTTCTGTTGGAAACACCCCTACATAGCCACGCTAACTTTAACCAAACTGAAAATTGATTGGATTTAATATTAAATGTAACATTAAATTTAATATGAACATCAATATCCGTTGACATTTCTTCGATATATAAATTAGGTTGCCTTGATTTAATAAGGCCTGTCAATCTAGGCCACACTGAGCTTTTTTTATGAGTCATGAACACATAATAATAATATTAATAATAAGAATAACACAGAAGCATTACATTTTGTTTGAAACAAAGTTGTTAATCTTGAATTGAACAAATAACATTTTCTAAGGATTCTGGCGGTTAAACATTTAACTCTATGGTTCTCTAGTTGTGGAACAAGGGAGCTGATGTCAGGATCAACTTTTAATGTAAAAATAAATCAATTTAAATCTAAGTAGCACAAACAGAAGGATTTTATTTGAAAAACGCAAAGATCTTTGATTCATACAAACAATACACAAAAGAAAAGTGAAAATATTGAGCAAGCCATCAGGTTGAACTTAATTGGATGACACTGAGCCTAACTACCCATGCTTTGTTTGAATATATTTGAAGTCCTAACTTGGGTCTGGGACTGAAACCTGACTGAACCATGTTGCAGAAAGATGGAAGACTGGTAGGACTAACTAATCGGTTAAAAGCAAAGCCAAATACCTCCACAAATCTGAGATGAAGAAGATAATGTTTTTATGCATTCGAATTCAGAAAGAAAGATACTTACATGGGTTATGCAGTACTAGGAATGTACCTCATATGTACCTATTTGACACTCTAAACATAGATTGGAATTTTAACCAATCTGGTTGGTATTTATGTGTCCAACCAATATTTTGGTTAAAACAATGAATATGTTTTTTAACTAGTCTGTAATAGAAAAAGGGGAAACCAATAAAAATTGGTCACTTTGACCAAAATATTGGTTAATTAGTGTAACATATTGAAAGCCTGGACCAGGGCTTAAACCATCAACCTTTTCATTGTTGGGCAAACTCCTCCTTCCAACACCACTGTCTATAATCTTGGTTTACACCAAGATTTGCATGCTGTTCATGTAACATCACTGTGATTGTTCTCTAGGTCCATAGCTATTACACACTACGCCTGACCACACCCAGACAGTCAGATTAGTAGACCATTAGTTACCAGTTTTATTGTTTGTTTGGTTAACCAGTTGAATTAGTTTATCTGAAACAAATGACTTGGTCATTGTCTGACCAATATATTGCTGAATCTAACCAAGATTGGTTTAGCCAACTAGATTGGTTGTATTTCAAACCAATCCATTCTAAGAGTGGAGATACCTCTGAATTCCAACCCAAAATTCTGACTTAGAAAAAAAGTGGAACACAGAAATTTAGTAACTTTATTCTAAACTGATGACAAAAAATCATTAGAAAATGTAATATGATGTATTCAATAGTACTGTAAGTTCTGGTATTCTAATGCAATTAAAGGTATTGTTGGGTGTCATAGTTTGCTTTGCAATCAGATGATTGTTGTAATATGTAGTTTCCAGTTTACCTAAAGTATAAATTATTTAGCACTTCAGGTAATGGTTATTCTTTTCATCCCATTATTTGGTAATCTTCATGTTAACAATAATCACTTTAAGCAAGCGTTTGTGTTAAAAACCTAACCGTGTATTTTAGGTGCTACACATAATAAACCTAGCTGCATTCAATCAATATAGCTGGTTCTGCACTAGGTTAGCAAAATACCTCAACTGGATTGTTCTGAATCTCAGTTTGTGTGTGTTTGAGTGTGTTCTGAAATGTTTCAGAACCACTAATGCAGAAATTTCATATAATACCTCAGGTTTAAGGCATACAACCTAATTACCAGCTATAGCTATAACACCTTGGTGTGCATACTTGCTATTTTCCATCAGTGCTGCTGGTGTGCAATGCATCGTATGCTTAAAAGAGGTGTAGGCAAACTAATTTTTGGCCCCAAATAAAAGTTTTTCTTCTGTAGAGTTTCCCTTAGTATATGTCATATCTTAATTTGTCCCATTTACTTTGAAATGTTTTCTTCCCAGGATGCTTTCTTCCCTATTAATCAGTTTTTTTATCCATGATTTCCTCTTACATAATAGTGTTAGGCTCCGGATGTTAGTCTCTTGTCTTTTTCCTCTTTGAAATAGAGCTGATTTTACTGGACCCCTCCATAATTATTTTGACATGCAAAACACAACAGTTTAAGCACTTGTTAATCCATTTCAGCATACCAAATTCAGCCTGATCAAATTGAAAAGGAGATTTTTTTTCTCATAAGCTGATACAGTAAATCACTCCTGCAGAAGAAATGGTGTCAGATGTACTGATTATATTATGGCTGGATAACATCTTTTATGTTTAGACTAAGGTGGAGACATTACTCTCAAAGTGACACCTATGAATAAACGAATGAATAAATTAAAACATCTGTTCATGCTTGACCGCTGGAGTAATGCACACAGGAAATGAGACCCCCTTCTTGCCTGTGGAAGGAGGAATGCAATAATTGAAGCCACTTGTGTCAAAGAAACAACCTCTGAAAATATCTCCAAGTGTGCATGTCAACCAGGAGGGTTCAAAATCTAAACTGGAAATATTCTTTCATACCGTCAGCTGTGATCTACTTGCGTGTCAGCGTGGCGCATGTTGGCTAGCAGCGATTTGTGCAGCGGAGTAGTCAAATTTTGATATTAAAAATTGAGAGTAAATTTGATAATTCACTTTTGGAGATATTTCCAGGCATCCGTGCTTCAAAGCACCCCAAAAAAAATCTGTCTAGTGTTGCATATTTAAGCACTAAAGCTAGTTTTTGAACCAAAATATTTACTGTAACCCATTTAGTAAAAACTGTAACACAAAGTTGGTGATATCAGATGTCCAGTGCATTTTATCAATTTTAAGAAATGTTATAACTTTTACAGTAATTGATTTATTGTGCAATTAAACTGCTTGATTTACAGGTTGAGATGATTTCATCTTATAAATAAAAAGATATATCTTGTAATTTACCCAGTCATTGTGCTCGTGAATATTTTCGCTGATACTTAATGTTTAACATTTTTATATAGTGTGCTGTTTTCTTATCTTCTTACAAAGCAAAGCCACAAAGTTGTTTTGCATTGGTAATAACTAAAATGATGAGTTTTCTAATTGATGCCAGGTATTTTTTTATTTGTTGGTTTGTTTCTAAATTAGTGAAGGTAACAGAACATCACTGTATGTCCATGTATGTCAGATAGTGACTTGACCATTATTAATCACATTCAAGTTCTTGTTTAAAATAGAGCCATTCATTCTACTTTTTATGATGGTCTGTTACAAGCCAAATTTAATCTTTTTTGGAGCAATATTTAATTTCATTGCTGCAATTTTTAGCTTTATTTAATTCAGAAATTTGAAAAACAAAATTATAAACTTTTCCTAAGATATAGTGAGTTTATAGGATTTAAGGGGGGAATGAGGCTTTGAGTCAAGTGACGGCTGATCGGCTAAGGTCACATTAGGGCTTCTGATTGAAAATTGATTGGATTTAATATTAAATGTAATGTTAAATTCAATATAAATGCCAATATCTGTTGACATTTCTTCAATATATAAATTTAGTTGCCTTGATTTAATAAGGCCTGTCAATCTAGACCACACCGAGCTTTTTTGTGACTCATGAACACATAATAATAACAATAATAACACAGAAGCATTACTTTTTTTTTTTTTTTAGAAAAATAAAATGACATTTGAGGGACAGTTGTTAATCTTCTCTTGAACAAAGAACATTTTCTAAGGAACCACAAAATTGTTTTGCAATGGTAATAACTAAAATGATGAGTTTTCTAATTGATGGAATGTATTTTTTTATTGTCAGTTTGTTTCTAAGTTGAAGGTAACAGAACATGACTGTATGTCAATGTATGTCAGATAGTGGCTTTGATGAAGACAAAAGTTTTGACTTGATCATTATTAATTACATTAAAATTCCTATTTAAATTAAAGGCAGGGCAAATTTATTTGTATAGCACAATTCAGTACAAAGACAACGCAAAGTGCTTTACATGATTAAAATATAGGAAAATAAACCAGAATTAAAGCAAGTAGGAAAAAAAGACAAACAAGAAAAAAAACAAGAAAGAACAATAAAAACAGTTGGACTAAAGAAAAAAAATTAAAGGCATTAATACTACTTTTTATGATGGTCTGTTACAATACAAATGTAGTAATAAAGTAAATGTAGTTTTTTTTTTAGCAATATTTAATTTCAGTTTATATTTAATTTAGAAATTTTGAAAATCCAAACTATAAAATTTCCCTAAGATATAACGAGTTTATAAGATTTAATGGGGAATGAGGCTTTGAGTCACGTGACGGTTGATCGATAATGACGCGCGCTTGGAGCTGTGCGCTGGGATTGGATAAAAACAAGAATCATCTTTAATTGGTTTCCTGCAGGAAACTTCAAAGTAAAAGCCTCTCGTTTAGGAATCTGTGCAGTGAATCCCTCTGCTTTTATTCCAGCGGCAGCTGAATTAAAGCTGGGCTTTGTTTCCGTTCAGAGCGCGGACAGCTTTGCTGCATCGGCCGCTCTCTCCGTACAAGTGGAGCGAAGGCGTAGTTAGAGGATAACCAGCGCGCACTGAGAGCCTAAAGACAACCTACCACCGCTGCAGAGAGCCTTCCCTCAGAGCCGGACGGACACAGCGGGGCCCTGAGGACGGGACCAGGGACTGTGTGTTTGTAGTAAATGGCCACATTTATTTCCTGAGGGGAGACGCTCCTGCCTGTTAGACTATAGACACGCCAAATGCATCCAGGAAAATAGGACGTTGGGTGTAATCCAAACGCATTGGAAGTTTCTTTGAACGATTTAGTTTATCCTGCTGCAGACATGGACGAAGATAATCAAGGTGAAGCCAGTTATTCGTTGCAGTTCTTTACTACTGAATTTTTTATTATTTTAACTATTATTACTGTATTATTCAAAGCATTGTTATTATATTTGATCTTAAATATTGCATACATCACAACAGAAATAGTATGTTTTTCCAAGATGTCATCTTAAATGGAAATCCCTGAAATATGATCATGCTGTGATAATTTCAAGTTCACTAAAACAGTTTCTCTCCGAGATGGGTTTAAGTGAGGTATAAAGGTTAAACTAGACTTGACAGGTGATGATAAAGACTCAGCAAAGCCATTTAGTGTGAATGGATAAGTATGGATGATTGACAAAGCATCACTGTCGTTACTGAAGACTCCCAGTGCTGAAGTGAATGGACTTGTTTTTTTTACCTTTTGCCAGCTGTGCTGCTCATTTGACTTTGGCCCCAACAGGTCTTCATAAGGTCACTGCAGCATATACCTTTGGGACAGGGATCCATTCCCAGATTTTTGTCTGAAAAAAGCTCACAGATAATCAAGGCAAGGCATCCAAAATAGGTCTTTGGAAAATGTCAGACTATATGCAGTTCAGTGTTTGGAAGAGTAGCACACTTTTAAACTAAATGCAGCTGTGCAAGCCTCAGTCCTCTGACTAAACAGTATGCAATGAAACTAGACCCATAAATATTTGTGCTGTAACTCTAAATATCCTACAGTCATGGCCAGTTTTGTATGTACAAATTCCCCATAACCTGATTTTGCACAGGGCATATGAGTTCAGGACTTAAATATTTAATAAAAAATATTTTATTAATATTTTTAAAAGTCTGGCCAAGCTAAAGTATTCAGTACTTTTCTAATTCTTTTTTATTATTATTATTTTTTAAATCACAAACATCATTTGGTTTCAATTGGATATAATGTCCCCTACCAGCTTTATGCGGGGCATAATTGCAAAGTGGAACACCAGTGATAGATGGGTGTCAATTTTTTATTTTTTTTTATAGAATTCTGATAATGTGGCAGCTATTTAGTAGCCTCATGAGACCATCCTGATCTCGCGAGCTTTCAAGGTTTCACTCGCAGATCAGTCTGGCTACTTTCCGTTAAAGAAAATTTGGAGCAGTTCACCAAATGAACGTCCAATCAGCGTTGGCTTTGAGGCGGGTTGAGGTGTGACGCAACGAGAAGCGCGACAGTTCAGTCTAAAGAACATGGCGGCTTCAGCTGATGAGACGAGCGTTAGCGTGGCTATCGAGCAACTTCAGCGGAAGGTTTCCAGATGGATATGCGGAGCAAATCCATCTTGGTCTTTTGCTCTTGTGCTGTCTTTCGGGTGTTGAGAGTGATATTGTCCTGCTCTCTTCTCATCACATGTCCAAAGCGTCTATATCTCCTTTGCATGAAAATTGGTTTCCATGCCGTCTTGATTGTATCAGGCAAGTAGTTAATAGTAGAAATGGTGTCAGGCCAGAGGATTTTCAGGTCCTCTAGGCGAGGGGGTTTGGCACAGACCTAACAATCCTACTCTAATGTTACGGAAACCACAGGCCTTGTAAGGAGGGCATGCATCAGAGATGCAAGGAGGCCCATTGCAACTTGCAGAGATGAGTATTTATTGAAGAGAAAGCCAACGTCCCGTTGGAAGTTTACTTATGGCCATGTCGGGTAGAAACCTCACTATAAACAAAACCATTCCTACGGTGAAACATCATTGATGGCAGGGTTATAATGTGGATCTGTTTTACTTCAGCAGTAATAGGAAAGCTGGTTAGATTCTGTTCGAAGGGGCATAAATCTAAACAAAGGACGTTCATGGAAGAAAACCTGAAGCGTTTACCAACTCAATAGTTCAAACTTCTTCATGAAAAAGTTGCACTTCTAACAGTAACATGCAACTTTGCCGAAAGTGTGCCCATCTTATTCCAGGGTAGATGTATCCCAAACTGCTCCTATTCCCAATTTAGCAAACTTTTTTAAGCTAGGTTATCATCACACACTCATAATCTGCAGGCGAGGCATCCTTACACCAGTGAACTCATCCTCATTCATAAGAGGCTGCTTTGCCCCACATTTTCCCTCTTATTAAAGTTGCAGGATATGACTAATTGCAGGAGTCATGCATATGTTGCACCTGGACATAACACTTAGATTGTGCTGTGTTCAGCCTGCCTGGCTTTAAGTGGGGGTGCTCATTGACGTGGCACCCCCTCAGAGAAACAAATGTTGCTTTGATGATCCACAAGAACTGTCAACAGCCTTGAGCATGTAAACACATTTATACAGAGTTAGTTGTAATAGCAGGATGAAACACACGCATAGTATTTTTTCTGTTTTCTCTCAAGACAGATATATGAATTCATGGATGCTGACCAGAAATGCCAGTGTGATGTTGAATATAAAAATGAACCCAATGCTGCCAAAAAATGCTGCAGAGCTCCAGTTTTTATTTTATTTTGTCTGCATGTTCTTTAATTTTGGTCTTATGATATGAACAAGCTCAAATCAAGCACGCCCACACTACAGACAGTAGCAGAATATGGAGCTGCAGGGAGGGAAAGCACAGAATGGGGAGTCATGCTGGGGACGATTAAAGCATTAAGCCCTTACTGGCTGATGCTGAAGGTAGGTGGCGGCCAGTTTGACAAGGTTCAGTATGAGCCTGTCATCACTCTTAACATTGCTCACAGTTCTTCAGGCTATAGTTTGAGAGTGATGGACGGCTAAATAGGGAGAGACCTAATGAGGCACCTACTGTCTTTGGGAAAACAGAGATAGAGGAGGGTGAAGATGGGGGCACACGTGTGCCACACAGGGTGATTTGTAGTTGTATATGTAGTTGTAACGGGGATGGTGCTATATCTTTTCGGTGAGAAGGAGGGGGCAGGATGAAGAACCTGAATCAATAGGGAAAATTGCCCATGAAGTAAGCAGCAAAAGGCGGTAAAACGCAATGGACAGAAGGTTCTTACTGTACCAATTCTACAGGGTTTCTGTCAGTAGAAATCCCTCTGCTCTGTCATAATTAACTCGGTGAACAGCAGTGACCTTCCATGTCAACCCTTCAAACCAGTTCAGACTTTCAACAGGGATTTGTTACTTTTCAACTTCTCCCTCTATGGTTTCCACCTAAGCCTGAAATAAACAGTTTGAAAAGGATTTGTGAAACAAATATCATGTTCTTTTAGCCAAGCAAGTAAGAGAACTGACACGTCTTAGGTTGTTCCAAATATCTAGAATGGTCTGAAATCAAGCTTTATCGGTTTAACTATTCAGTCCAAGAGACTTTGAAGAAGTTCAAAAAACTAATGGCATTCCTGTTCTTTTTAGCTTTTATGTTTGTTTTTGTTTGTTGAGTCTTTCTTCTATGTTAAAAGTATAGTGGAAAATCTTATTTTGGCTCTTTGTTCTTTATTGATTCTCCTAATTGCCAATTGTTAAATCCTCTTGATGCTCATGTGCACAGCTTGTCTTTAAATATGCTGTGAGCTTCAGTTTCAACCGTTCATTGTAGGTGCTCTGCTCTCACTATATATTTTCAAAATGGTCAAAAGTTGCAAGAAGTAAACAGTTTTCGAACTTTATGACAATAAGAGGAAGGCTTCAGAAGAAATAAATAAAATCGGAATGTATTTGGGAGATTCTGCCACCTGATAACGTTAGTAGTGGAAGAGCAGAAAGGATGGTATTTAGCAGTTATTCGAAAAATAATTTTCTTACCTATATATCTGGAAAAATAATCTACTTTACCTTGAAGAGAAAGTAGACTAGCTCGTCCAGTGGTGAGAAGGTTTATAATTTGGTTTCCACCTTCATCTGTGCAATTCTCCCTGGGATAGTCTTAAAGGTTTGCAAGTTTTCTTTTGTAATGTTCCAACGATACCAAAAAAATATTTTCCCTTTTTTTTGCCAGCCATTATATCAGCTTTGGCCGGGTTGAACCTTTTAAGTTTTGATCATTTTATACATGTCTTTTCACTTGTTACAGTTGTTAACAGCTATAATAGTGAGCAATCCAAGGATTTTATAGACAATTTCTAGTGCCATTCTTAAAAAGCTCTTTCAAGTTAATTTTTGAATTGGAAATAAAAGCAACTTGGTTATAATCTATCCAACCAGCAGGTTATCTGCTATAGAAATCACTCTATCTTCGAGCCTGATGAACTGGGAACTTGTTTTTGCTCGGGAGTAAAAAAATAACAGCTTGATTTCCTTCTTACACATATTGTATCACCTCTGACATCACTGATGCAAAAATGAAAGTACCTGTTAATAGAAATTAAAATGGATTGAAATGGCAATACATGGGTACGAAATAGGGCCTAATTGAAGGATTTTTTTGATAGCTTTAAAATTGATTAAAGTTTATTGATATAATCCCTTAAGTATTTAGTTTGACAACTGGAACTTTACCATCATAATGGCTGCTTTATGAATGAAGTTGTCCTTCAAAACTCCAAAAATAAAAGTCTACAAAGTTTTGTTCTGCCATTCAGAACAGAGCAGACAAAATTTAGCATCTTGCAATGCATTTAGCTTATTGATGAGCAATACAAATACCTATCCCTGCTGCTCTGGTGTCCACTTAAATTACCGGTTGAGCTGTGGATTATTATGCTAAACTCCTATTCTCTTACTGCTTCTGGCTCTAGACCACTCTGTTTTACACCCTGTGAAACCCACCATCTACAGTTTAGAGCTTTAAGTGTGTTTCAGTGTGGTTTGTGGGGCTTAATGGTATATTTTGGGCAAAAGCCGACTGCTGTGAGCTTGGCATTAAGACTTCAGTTATTCATTGCAGGCTGGAGGACTGAGCCAGCACTTCTTGCTTTTTTCAATTTATAAAGAGAGGGATTCGGTGAAACTTTACAAGAAACAAAAAATGATAAATATTACTCTCTAACCTGTTTAATTGTTTTGTCTACTTTGGAACTCTTTAGGAGGGTTTAAGCTGGTTTATCTGTTTCAAAGAGTTTTAGAGATCTGAAACTTTGAGGAAGCTGATAGAGGGCGGCTGAAGACAGAA